TGAAGCAGTTTTAAACAGCTGCCAGAAAGCTACTGGCATTTATTTCACAGCATAACACTGATAATATGTAATCTGACAGAGGTTTTTGAGGTTTGACTTAGTTGTCCTAAATTAACATTGAGGTTGGGATTTTACTCATGCATAAACATGTTTGTCTTTATATGAAATTATATAGGGAGGCATTTCTTCTTCATCTAACCATATATTGATTACTTATTGTTATTTGTATAAATGTTGATTTTTCATCAAAATAAATAAAAAACAAGATGTGTTAAATTCAGAGAAAACAGTTTCAGATTAACAAACTACTAAAATGATGCTGGTAACTAAAAAGTGAGTTTGTGAAGCCCAGATTAGTGATATCACAGATGTTGAAGAACTTACTTTTATTTTTAAATTTAGCTCACTTGTCAAATAAATCATTCTAGCCTTAGGAAAATCATCTTGCATTTTACTTAATTATAAATTAAAATAACCCCAGCTCTAAAGAATTAATAAAAATTGAAATATTGAATTATTTGTTTCAGATTAACAAACTACTAAAATGATGCTGGTAACTAAAATAATTTTGTTCTTCTACATTGCCTTTAATACATTCCAGTCTCTTCTGTGGATGTTTTTATTACCTCTTTTCAAGAAAATGTACCATAGACAGATTGAGACAGGTAATATAAGTGGCTCAGATCATCATTATTCCCTAAGTAAATAAGTTCTTAAAAAATAACAAAAAAATTGGAATATGCCAAGATTTGAAATGAGTTTAAAAGTTATCATTTACTCCAAATACCTTAATAATTATTTTCAAGATGAAGTGTGATTTGGAATCCCTTAAATCATTTGGAACTTTAAGATAATGTGTCTTTACTACATCCTAAAGGGCATAATTAGGTAAAAGTCTTTCTTCTTCTACATATTATTTTTATGCAGATGCTTTATTTATTTTGTTTCTAATGTAATTTGTATCAGCCATAACATATAATGAAATAACAACCGTATTATGAATACTTTTATACATCTGAGTTGGAGTGAGCTCTTTGATGGTAATAATTTGAGAGATGAATCAAATGCTTTTTTTTTCTTTCCTCCTGCTTTTTTGTACCATTTCTGTCTTACAAACTTTTCTGATGATTCATTTAGGTGATACTATGTTTAAATACCTTGCTTGTTGCAGTCATAGGCAATTAATGAGTTTTTTATGCTTATAGATGCTGTCACATTATTAAAAGTAGAAAAAGATACTCCAGCTCTCAACATTTTTTTCAGTCTTTCTTTTTTCACCTTTTTAGAAGTGAAAACATTTATTTATTTATTTTATTTTTTGCCATGTTGCAGATCAAACCTGGGGCCTCACACATGATAGCAATCAGTCTACTACTGAGTCTATCCCTTTAAGCATTTCACTGATTGGAGGACTTGGTATTTTTGAATAGTTGTGTTTGCATTAAATCCTCTTTTAAAAAAGTTAGGAATTTGACAAATGTTAAGAAATTCCTGTAATTATGTTGGTAATAAGTCATGTTAGTCATTATACTCTATGGGGCTAACAAATTAGGTAAGAAGAGAGTGAAAATTTATATTTCTTCTCTATTGGGTATGATTCTCTAATTTACTCTTTTTGAAATGTGAAAAGTCTTCATTGTACATTGTGGTGCTATTGCTTATTTAAGTAATGAAGCAGAATAGGAGATTTGCTTCTTGGAAATTTTACTCATCTCTAGTTGGGATTAAATTATAAATCTTGGACTTAACAAGTAGGAAAAATCACTTAAGAGACTGGGGTTTGAGGTTTATCTCTGTCACTAACTGATGTTGTGACATTAGGAAGTCATTTCTTTGGGCTGCTTTTTTCAGAGCTCTGAGATGATAGGATACCATATTCTTTTAAACAACCTTGTTTTTCTAGCCAGAACTATGTTACTTTTGTTAAATTACTACATGAATATATCAGTGATTACCATTTGGTAATTAATGAACTTAATTTAAAAGGACTGCTTTAGGTAATTATAAATATACTTGTTCATTTTTAAAATAACATGTTAATAAAATATATAGATAGGTATAGAAAAGGGAATTTATGAATATAGAGAGTAATGTAAATACCTCATTCAACAATAGAATTGCTAATTGGTATTTTACCATATGATGTAAATTGCAGTATGGGTATGAAAAAAGTTTCAATTGATTGAATTATATCAGATGTTAAAGATTTGATTTTCACAAATAGTAAATACAGGTTGATCATCTCTAATCCAAATATATAAAATTGGAAATGCACTCAAATTCAAAACTTTCTGAACATCAACTTTCAAAAAGTTTCTCATTTTAATCATTTCAAATTTTGGGTTTTCAGATAGGAATACTCAACTTGTAAAGTCTATGCAAGTATTATGAAATCTGTAACACTTCTGTGATCTCAAGCATTTTGGATAAAGGATACTCAGCTTGTGATTAAATTTCTTCCTAAGAATTAGAAACATAAAATTGGAGAATTAACATATGTACTTGAAAATTAATTCAAAACTAATTAATACATTGTTACTTCATTATGTAAAGATGGGTTGAATGAAAAGCATGTGGACATGTGTGAAGGCCTTTTAAGTATTCTATTCTAAAGATCATAGAACTAAAATAAATAGTTTGAGTACTTTCTCATTGATAGTTCATTGACTATTCTGAAATTGTCCTGTACATATAAATTATGGAAATCGGATAATAGATTGCCAGAGAAGGAAAAAATAATTTAAACTTTTTGTTATTTATATTAGATAGTATAATTGGTTCATCTGTCCACTTATAATTTATTTTATTAAAACAAATTTTAAAATCTTTACATAATAAGCATTGTGTTAAGTTTAATTTGGTATAGAAATATAATATACATATAATATACATATTTCTTACTAATGTGGAGATGAATTATTTCTGGGACAGAAATTGAAGCATTAAATAGTAAGAGTGCCACAGAAAGGAAAGAGATGAATACAGAAAGAACTAGCCCTGAGTATTCATTTGGGACTTGATTAATAAATATTGTCTCTGTTAAGGACACTTCTATACAGTTTTTTTCAACGTAAGGTGCGAATGCCTTACTAGGAATTTTTCTTAAAAGCCAGATTTTAATTTAGTTTATTGGAATGAGCCCGAGATTCTGCATTTCTAAAGGTGCCCCAGATTTTGCTAGTACTTAAGGGCAATGGTTCATCTTTTGAGAATTGAGGCAATAATATTTAACAGAGAAAATTTATTTTTATTATTATTTAAACATTAGGTATTTTTGTGGATTTTCTTTTAGAGAACCAGAGGACGGAAACGAAGCTTTGTTCCTGAGGAAGAAAAACATGAGGTTGGAATAAGTTAAGCAGTTTTTACACAGTTCAAATTTTGAGAAATTTTTTTCTTAAAATTGTTTTCTTTATATCCTGATTTTGTTTTGATTTATTCTCCCTTGTATGGCAGGAAAGAGTTCCTAGAGAAAGAAGACAGAGACAGTCTGTATTACAAAAGAAACCCAAAGCTGAAGATTTAAGAACTGAATGTGCAACTTGCAAAGGAACTGGAGACAATGAAAATCTTGTCAGGTAAATTGGATGCTGAGTCCTTGTCTTTTGGGGATTAAAGTCCCATGATTATCATTTTCTTATCACAGATAAAATGAAAAAACAAAAATAGAATAAGATGTTTATAAAAATCTTACTTAGAACAAGGTTTCAGAAACAGATTTCATCTACTGATTAACTTTGCACACATAGTTATACTCTGGATTTAGATGTAAATAAGAGTGATAATCTGGATCTTGAACACAAGAGAATTAATTTTCTCTTCACAAGAGAAGTTGTCAGTATTTTTATAAAGAGGCCACAAAAGTAATTTGATTTAAACACTTTGTATTGAGATTATTGTTTTATCTCATAAGATCATAAAGTTAATACGCTCTTACTTATTATAAAAGTTGAAGTTTATTAAGGCAACCAACAATAAGACAGACTTTATTTTATTGGCAAGAGCTTCATTAGCACTTCCTTATTGCCTACCAAAATGAATGTGTTAAATGCTTCTCTCTTATGAAATAAAGAAAGGTGAAAAGATGGCCTAGATAGATTTTGTTTTGTTTTGTTTTCTTCTTTGTTTTTTTTGTTTTGTTTGGGTACTTTTTTATTTTTAAATCAAGCATAATACTAATCAGGAAGCTTAGCTGATGCTGTACAATGTACTATTCCTGAGGGCCCAGAGATTTCTAATTTTAGCCATTTGCATCTTGCTGAAATGAAGAAAGTACTCAGTTTGCTGGTGTGGGTGGTTAACAAAAATAAGTTAATTTAAGAGACATCAGTCTTTCAAAGCGACAGTGGCAGAGTTCTTGTAGCATGGTGAGGGAACTCTGTCTGATTTCTTTTAAAAATTGTCTTGGTAAAGTCCTACTGAGTTGACTGAGGACAGAAAATTAAACACTTAAAAAAGAATAAACTTATGTTGATGAAATAAATATATTAGTATAATTATGTGATTTTAAATATTTACTTAAAAAATGATGTTCTATGTTTTAGTCATTAAAAATATAATTTCTTTTGTCTTCATCAAATAAAGGCAGGAAGTTTTTTTTAAATCTTAGTTTTTTATATTATCACTAAGAAAGATAAGGAGAAGGTAAAGATTTCAGTGAAGAAATACAAAGTGCTTCAACAAAGTAAGAAAGTCTATTTTCTTTTATGTAGTTGATGCAGAATCTTGTGGGAGTTGTCATGAAGATGAAATTCATTTATATTTAATTAAAGCAATTCTGAATTCAGGAGATATATATGTATAATTCTGATCATACTATGAATTATGTCAAAATGAAATCCCAAGCTGAAGTATAATATAATGGTATACATAAAATTACAAAAAAACTAAAAAATTACAATATTACATAATAAAAAATCAAGGGAAATGCCATTGAGGTTGGGGATAGGGGTGAGGAGCATGATTAATTTGAAATGATAGTTAAAAACTTGTGATCTTCTTTTCAATTATTTGAACCTATACCAATGTCTATCTTCATTCATTTTTTTGAAATACTAGATTGATTCAGGCCCTTTTACTGTGGAATCCAAACATTTTTACTAGTTTTTATGTTATTTTTTGCTTATATTTGATCGAACCTAGGGAATAAATATAGCTTATATTTCAAAAAGCACTTTATAATAGGGCATTTCCAACCCACTATATTTTAGGTATCTTGAAAAAAAGTAGGTACCGTGTTTCTTATAATCTTTATAAAATTTTTGAATAATATTTGCCTTTCTTATTTATTTCATTAGTTTCTATTGTAAAATTTTCATTCCTAATTGCATGATTAAAACATGTCAGTATTTGGAATTTAGTGAAAGTTTTCTTGGAAGGTAAAGATATTTTTATTAACCTAGAAATGATGGATATACAAAGTCCCTTTCCTTGGTTGCCTCATAAAAAGGATAGCATCATAAATTTTCTGCAAAGATTTTTAAAGGTAATGAAGAGGAAATTAAATGTTTTTATTATAATATTTCTGAGAAAAAGAAAAGATAGATATAAAACAATGCCATAAAGTGTTCTATGGTTATGAGTTTTCTTTAAATATTTAGTTTAAGCACTATTGCTCCTGGATTAAAGAAGAATTTTATTTTGCATAGAATTTCATGTGTTTAATAAAAACAATTGTATAGCTAATATCTGCCATTTTCCCTAACATTACATTTCATTTGGAGTTAACACCATCATTGCTTGAAAATAGTCCCCCTAAAATTCATATTTTTATGATTACATTATATATTAAGTATTATATTATATATTAAGTATTATGTATACATATTCTTTTTTAACTTTAAAATATTTTAAATAAGGCTTTATTTTCTATAAAAATATATTTCAGTGGAAGGTCAGAGATATACTCATTGTGTTTATCTGTTGGTTCTCCTATAAAATTAAACATTTTTGATTATAGTAATCTTTTATTAAATATGTTTTCTGTGTTTCCTCAAGTTTCTTTAAAATAATGTCTGCAACTTAGGAGAACCTTCTCTTTAGCATCTTTGATTTTGAAACCACACTTCTCTATGTAATTCAAGCTATATGGAAAATTCATATTAGTTATTATTCTTGCTGCTTCAGTTATTTGTATATGTTTATGTGAATTTATTTTCTTTATATAATTGGGAAATTGTGTGCAATTTATCAGTCAACTGTAATTAGCAGGATCCAACTTATTTTTTGCTACAGCTTATCTCAGATCTTTGACAAAGAATTTAGCATTTCTGTGCCTCATTTTTTCCCTATGTTATACATGATCAAATCATGAATAACTGCTAAGTTATGATAAAATCTTTTCTTTGTAAAATATTAGGACAGTGACATTGGTGATACAAAGGATACATACATGCTTGTGTTGAAATGTGGTTCATAATTGGTAAATATATTTTCATTAGTAATAAATACTGATTTTTAACCTTTCAGAAAGTGTATGTATCCTGTTTTTATATAAACTTATTTCTAGTATTTAGGAGACAAAGGGAATTTTGACTACAATCTTACATGTTCTCTAAAATGATAAGAATAAATGGTTCAGATTTGGGAAATCTGAAAATTATCAAGGTCATTAAGAGGAAGATGATTTTTATAATGTCTTATGGAATTTTTAAAAATATTGTTTCACTTTTTCCATCTGCTTTTTAAATTTAATTAAAAATTTTTTTTGCAAAATTTTCCATTAAAAATAGATTCCTTTATGTCCTTATAAATATGCAATTTAAATGCTAAAGTCCAAATTGATACTCTGTGTTAGAACTGTGAGATCTTTTTCAGGCATTTATTTATTTTGAGAGAGGTATTCTTTGTGAGAAGTATGGCCCCATTTAATGATACCTTATTTTTGTTTCTACATTTAGTGTTCAGTAAGTCCTTGATAAATGAATGATAAATGCCTAATAAATAGACTCCATATATTTTTGCTGCCAACCCTAAAAAATTTTACAATTTTAACTTAATCCTAGAGAAAATTGAGTCACTAAATATAAATTTTTCATGAAAATATTTAAAAGACTTTACAATGTCTGTTGTTTTTTTTTCCCTATGACAAGGTAAGAAAATAACACAGATTTTAAATAATTCATGCACCTATGCAAGAGTAGAAATGAAGTGATTGTTCTTTTTGAACACTTGATTTTCAAAAGATAGATTTTAGAGATAGCTAGATAGCCTTTCTTCTCCATAAGTTTTTATTTAGATGTCACATCAGGAATAAGTCTAAACTTTTAAACCTCATATTTTATTTTAATTATGTAAATTCAGTGTGACACATTTTATTACTTAAAATAAAAAACCATAGGCTAGAGACAAAAGAGTTTCTAAAACTAAGAACTCTAGACTCAGTGAGTCTTCTCAAATACTATCTTTAATTTTATTTGTATTATAGCCATTTTTCAGAAATATTGAGGTTAGGAAATGATCCGTGAAGCTATTCACTTTTACAACTAATTCCACACTATTAAATGCTTGCTAGATTCCCCTTATTTGAGTATAAGGCAAATTACATAGATATTGAATCATTTTGGTTACATACAAGGTTAGCATGTTAATTTGCTCTCTAAGCAATTTATTTATTTCATATTTTAAATATCTGACTTCTTAATGTTTTCCCCCCAAATAATTTGTATCATAAACTGTTAGAAACACCAACAAGAAATAATATATACTAGATTTTTATTTCAAATATTAGTCTCTATAATTTATTCTGATTCTTTTTATTATAAATTAATTTTTTGTTCTAATTGGTAAAGATATTTTTAAATGGCCTGGGTCATAATTAAAGGAGTTTACTTCCTGAGATTTGATTAGATTGATAGTAAAGCTAAAATTGGTTATAAATTTTGATACTATTTTTACAGAACGGCAGATCATAAAGGTGAATACTTAAATGACATTGTAAATAAAGCCACGTGTGCATGCCTTTAACCCCAGTCACTGTGGAGGCTGAGACAGGAATATCATAAGTTTAAGACGAGCTTTGGCAACTTAGCAAGACCCTGTCTCAAAAAGAATTTGGGGGATATAGCTCAGTGGTAGAGTACTGTGGGCTAAATCCCCTGTACCACAGAAACAAACAGAAAATGGAACCTAGTTTATCTATTTTAAGAACACTTAGTATTACATTTGGTAGAATTTTTTAAAGTTATTTTATTTTGATTAAAGACCTGCTAGATTACTAGCAAGTAATAGTTTATCATATGATAATCACATAATTACTAATAGTTTATCACTTTTTGTTTTAATAATTCATTTGCAGTTCTGGGGAATGAACATAGAGTTTCATGCATGCTAGGCAAGTGCGCTACCACTGAGCTATATATATCCCAGCCCCAGTCATCACTCTTAATAGTATATTTAATAAAACAGTGTATTCTTGTGCAAATATCATGTGATTATAAATTAATGTTACAATTGTTTATTATTTAGTTACTTATAATTTAAAACTAAGAAACAAATATGGATCTAAAAATGGTTTACATATTCTAATACATTTCATATGCATTAAAAATGCACATTTTCTGTACATAGTTTGGGATAA